TGTATGGGTGGCTTCTGGATGAAGTGGGGAGGCACCCCAACATTTCAGGGGAGCACACTCTATCCTAGTCATGCCTTTGACCAAATGGCACAATACTCTTAGTAGAAATAAAACCGCACTGCAAATTCAGCAACCATGAGCACACACAGCAAGGGAATATGTACCATTGTGGCAATATTGTGGCTTTCTTCTGAGTCAAGATATATTGGATACTACACATGCTCAGCCTATATATTATGCTCCTTAAAAAGAACCATTATCTGGGGAGGTTGACATTTTAGATCTACAGCCAAATCCCTACACTTTTGGTGTAGCATATGGTGCCCTCAAGAGTTTTTTTCCCCTGCTGGGGTGGTCATGCCTGGAACAAGTTAAGGAACAAAAAGAACAGGTACACCGAACAAATCTGATTCTGAAGGAGAAACTGCAATCTCAAAATGTAAAAAAATAATTCACCCTTTATTTTAATTTAAAATTGCCTAACGCATTTTGGCCTCAACATATGTCCTTCTTCAGGGGCTGTACAAAGTTAGCAAAAACATGGGATGGACAACACATTACCATGTTTACATTTTTATATTACATTGTATATCACATTCGAAAACTTTATACATTGTTCACAATGAGAATGTTAATCCTGCATATTCTTACATTTGATTGACAAATGTAGCCATTATATTTTATACGTGGCATTGATTTTGGATCTATATTAGATCTTTTTCCTTAATTTGGACTGTACACAGCTCCAATAGATTAGTTACTTAGAGGAAGGATTTCTATGACATTTCACATTTTCTGTGCAAACTACATTTGAAACCATAAACATATTCAAACATGTTTATGAGTAATCTGGCTTTTCTCACCAGATTCCTCATAAATATGTTCAAACCCACCCATAAGCTCAAACATATGTTGTAGAAAAAATGTGACATGTTATAGACCCAAAGACCCAAGGTGGACTACATCGTTAAAAGACAATACCAAAGCTAACAATAGTATACAACTACTAAAAAGGATACGTTTTTTTGAGTTAGGCATCCTTCAGTCTTGAGAGACTATGGTAACATGCTCTGTATGAAGGACTTGGAACAGTGTCTAGTGTGGCTGAGAAGGCTAATTCGAGAGTGGCAATCTCTTCTACATTGAAGACAAATCCAATCTGTCCCCTGTCCAGCTCTCCGATTTTGCTGGTTTCAGGACTGCCTCTTTGCCTTGGCCTGCTGGACAAGGGTATCTTCAAATTGGGAGAGGCCGTGCTGCGCCGCCTGCCTCCAGGCTGAAGGCTCAGATGTCAAGGTTTCCCATCTGTTGAGGTTCATTCCTAAGGCCTCCTTGCCCAAGGAGAAACCACTGCTCCAGAGATGCGCAGGCACCTGGAGGCAATTCAGAACAACCTCCTACTGCAGTCACCACTGCCACTCCCATCATAGTCTTCTTCTTGCTATCCTCCTGGAAGGGTTACTGCCTGACAGCAGGGAACCAGGTGGAAGCAAATGATACGTTTCAATTTTTGCAGCCATGCTTCATGCCTCTCTTTTATCTGGTCCAAATGGGTATATGATTGGACCACTGGGAGGGCAAGGGCAGAAATGGAAGGTGGTCTGGCCAACAACTGGACTATTGGCAATGGTTTTATTTGCAATGTTGTATGCTATCTCTTTGTATGCATTAGAGATAGCATACCTTTGTATGCTATCTCTGATGCAACTGTTGTTGCCCATTCTGCTGAAGACCTCCAACAACTCATGAATTGGTTTAGCAAGGCCTGCCAAGACTTTGGACTAACAATCAGCCTAAAGAAAACACAAGTCATGGGCCAGGGCATGGACTCACCTCCCTTTATTACCATCTCCACACAAGAATTGGAGGTTGTTCATGACTTTGTGTACCTTGGCTTAATGATCTCTGACACTCTCTCCCTAGATGTCAAGCTTGATAAACGCATTGGGAAAGCAGCTACCATGTTCTCAAGACTCACAAAGAGAGTGTGGCTCAATAAGAAGCTGACGGCACATACCAAGATCCAGGTCTATAGAGCCTGTGTCCTGAGCACACTCCTGTACTGCAGTGAGTCCTGGACCCTTTGTGCACGGCAGGAGAGGAAGCTGAACACCTTCCATATGCGTTGCCTCTGACTCATTTTTGGTATCTTCTGGCAGGACAAAGTTCCAAATACAGTAGTCCTAGAACAAGCTAGAATTTTTAGCATATATACATTACTCAAACAGCGACGTCTATGTTGGCTTGGGCACGTTGTGAGAATGGCTGATGGTCAGATTCCACAGGATCTCCTGTATGGAGAATTAGTGCAGGGAAATTGCCCCAGAAGGAGACCACAGCTGCAATACAAGGACATCTGCAAGCGGGATCTGAAGGCCTTAGGAATAGACCTCAACAGATGGGAAACTCTGACATCTGAGCGTTCAGCCTGGAGGCAGGCATTGCATCACGGCCTCTCCCAATTTGAAGAGACCCTTGTCCAGCAGGCTGAGGCAAAGAGGAAGTCACAAAAGTAGCAAAATCAGGGAGCTGGACAGGGGACAGACTGGATTTGTCTTCAGTGTGGAAGGGATTGTCCCTCTCAAATTGGCCTCCTCAGCCGCACTAGATGCTGTTCCAAGTCCTCCATACAGAGCATGTTACCATAGTCTTTCGAGACTGAAGGATACCTAATGAATGCTATCTCTGTGGTTTGTGTGACTGAGAGGGACTTTTCCAGGCTGACGTGACTGTATATCTGTCCAGTACTAACCAATCATGGCTTCCAGACTTTGAATTCAAAGAGAGCCCCACCTCTTTGTTGAGTAGTCTTTCCCTCTTTTTCCTAGGTTGGTAGCAATTGTTTGCTGTTGATCTGTTTGGTTGGTAGTATGTGTGAGTAAAGAAAGCAGTATACATAAGTATAATTTCATGCATCTGTAGGTAAAGAAACATCTTTTATTCTTTTTCCTACAAATGTGTCAGAATGAGTTATTGAGACTTTTAAGTGCCAGTTAATGAGAAAGGGGTGGGCTTAGGGGAACTTGTAGCTACTCTCCTCCGTGAGTCTCTGTACTTTTGCTGCATAGCAAAAGGAATTTTTCCAGAAATGCAAGATTCGGCAACAGGCAACACTATCCAGACCCTGGCTTAACCACAATAGAATCTGGGCTGAGAGGGATTTGTATCTGCTGTAATGCAGCTCCTCCCTTTCTCTGCCACTTTCTCCTTCTGGTTGATCAGTCAGTCCAAGCGCGTTGTGCCTCCAGAATAGGCTTCTGCCCATCCTAGACCCACTACAACTGGCATACCTTTGAGTTGCACTGAAAGACATTAGTTCATATGAGATTATAATTATAGGTTTGGGATTCCCAGTGTGGTGGAGTAGATACGTAGAGTGGTGGATCAGGATTCTGGAGAACAGGGTTTGAATCCCTGCTTTAGCCATGGAAACAGACTGGGAGAGTAGAACTGATAAGACCACTTCTTAAATACCTCACTTAAAGCCCTATTAGGGTCACTATAAATTGCTTTCTACTTGTTGGCACAGAGCATATACACAATTATAGGTTTAGCTAATGTTTGTGATTTAGTTTTAATCCACAATTTTAACAACAGAGGATCTAATACTTAGAATTTTATTTAAAGATTTTTTTAAAATGTGTAAACAAATAATTTGTAAACAAATTATTTATTTTTACCTTCCCTGTAAGCATGATTACTTGAGTATCGAGAAAAGACTGCATACCTTGTGTTTAAAACATTTATACAAAGCCAATCTGGTCTTAATCTTTTGGTCAGATTTGGGAACACTCTTGTTACATGGATGGTGTGGTGCCCAAAGTCCCTTCACATTGGAGAATTGGCATTCTTGAATCATATGGTGCCTTTTTGGGTTCCATTTAATATGGCTTGTGCCCTACAATAGCCCCTTGCTTTCATCTTCTCCCGCTGCCCACTTCTCCCCTGATTTGATTAGGGAGGAGTAGATTTGAGGCATATTTAAATAGTTTCCATTCTGTGAGCTGACAGCCAATATTGGATTCAAAATCATGTTACCATATATATTTACAGTGACATAGGCATGGCAGACTCTTATCTTAACCAAAATGTGCTGCTTCCTTCACATTTCTTGTGAATTCTAATTTAACAACTTTAATTTGTTGTAATAAAAGATGGCATGTGACAGACATTAAGAATTACGTTTTAATGCATGAGATAATGTATGTTGGATTCATTCATTCATTCATTCCACTTCTCTTCTCCCCCATCACTCTTCAGGGGGAGTGTAACCCTATTTTAAAAAAAAAAATTAAATTAGTATTAATGTTAGTCACATAATAGGGAGCAGGAAAATAGGAAGACCAAATATAAGATGGGCTGATTCTCTAAAGCAGTGGTCCCCAACCTTAGGCCTCCAGATGTTCTTGGACTACAATTCCCAGAAGCCGCAACTACCCCCTCTGCTAGCCAGGATTTCTGGGAGTTGAAGTCCAAGAACATCTGGAGGCCCCAAGATTGGGGACGGCTGCTCTAAAGGAACTCACAGGCTTGAATCTGCCGGATCTGAGCAGAGAGCAGTTGAGAGGACATTCAAGAGCTCGCTCATTCATAGGGCCACCATGAGTCGGAGGCAACTTGCCAGCACACAACAACCATGCATACGATTGGACTCTTAACTTCTCTGGGGGCTCTTGGTTATCAAAATCATGTCATAGAATGTGCACTTCTGGTTATTTCTAAAATGAAACCCTGGGAAGAATACCACGCGAATACACTGTAAATGGGGCAATACGGGCATGCTAAAACCACAGCCTGCATTGTGGATTATCCTAAACCTAGCTTGCGGGCTGTAGGTGTGGAAGGTGGGAGTCTTCGAAAGAGCTGGCTTTGCTGCCTTTGCTGAATCATTGTGAGTAGGGTAACTCCTTCGGACATGTTGATTTGCAATGTTATGAAGAAACAGCAGGCGGCATCCAAGAGTGTATATAAAGTGACGCCGAGGCGCCCCACCCGTCCAGCCGGCCGGGTGTCAGGAAGCGGAAGGGAGTCCCGGGTTGCCAGACGGACTTTTCTAAACTCTTGCACAGGTGAGTAAGGTGGCCGCAGGGCTCAAGAGCCAGGAGGGACAGCCGGGGTGGAGGGGCATCGCCATATCTTTTTATGCAGCCTTATGTTTTCCTTCTTCTATGGAACAGTTTCAGAGTCAGGCACCACTTCTGGGGTGCGTTTGCGCTTCTCTGCTTCTAGAAAAAAAATATTTAAAAACTTTTTTAAAAAGTGAACTCTTCCCTCCTTTTTGGACCGAAATAAACATGCTCTAACAGCTGTCGTTCAAGCGCAGCCGGTGCTTTTAAACACTGTCGGCGATCGCGAAACGGACGGTTCTTTCCTGTCTGGGTGATTGCAATGTTTTCCTGGCTCCTTACCCAAATGTCCTTCCTGCTCTCAAACCCCCCCCCCCCCGGTTTGGATTCGGAGCCTTTCAGGGAGCGCAGCGATGCATCCAGGACCAGCTCAGTTTTGACCGCTGCGGAGAGAAACAACAAGGCTGTTGTGCAGTTCAGCTTAGCAAGGTTTTCGCCTCTGCTGAACTTTGATCCAGATCAATAGGGGAAACCAAGTGGCTGCCTTGTTCATTTTTATAATAGACAGAAGAAAGTAAGCAGACTTTCCCCGTAGTTGACCAAAGCAGTGGAATCAAGCAGAGGGTTGTTATTATTATTTCCAGGGATCTTTCTTGTTCGCCAACACTGATTATGCTGCCCATTTCTAGCCCAGTCTTAAACTGGTATTCCTGATGGTTTACTGAGAAATCCCACCCACGGAGCTCAAGAGAGACTGATTTCTTAAATAACAGTATGACCCAAAAGAAGCTGTGTGGACATTATGCAAAACAAATGTGGAATAATGTGGTATCTTTATGAGACCAATTAGCAAATCAAACAATGAATGCAAGCTTTGTTGGTTAAAAATCCCTTCTTCAGGCATGCACCAGTAATTTGTACAGAAAAATTGATAAATGAATGCCCCAAAAATTCATGGCAAAAGTTTGCCAGGTATTCCCTTAAGGGTGAGTTTAAAGCTTGTTTAGGTAAACTGTGGAGGTGTGGCTTAATGCTTCACCCCTGGCACCATGTAATTGGAAATGTCCACTCAGTATTCAGTCAGATGCAGCCCATCGCTCTGCAGAAGTCTCTTCTCCCCCCACCCCTGCCTATTTTTGAAATAAAAGTTCTCTTTTTGGCTGAAGGCGGAGAAAACATGGACATAGCAATCTTCATCAGAATACTGGGATAATTTTTTTTTCTTTACTCACCAGGTAGAAGTCAACTGAAGTCCAATTACTGTCAATTTAAAATTATACCTGGTGAGTCTATAAGCAGATGTTGTTCTAACTTGCAGTCCTGCTTGGTTGATCTAAAGAGTTCATGCAGTCCAGTTTCGCTAATGTAAAGAGTCCTCAGTGGTACTTGAGGCAGCTTTTCATGGTGTCTCCAAAGTTTTTTTTTAAAGAGAGAGAGAAAAAAAAAATGAAAACCAAAGGAGTGGGTACTGCATAGAAATTTCCAACCACACGGTACTGGGGTGAAGCATTAAAACACATCCCTGTAACCTACCTGTAACCAGTTTAAGAGGCTGTCTGGCAAACTTTTGCCATTAACTTTTGAGACATTCATTTATAAATTTTCTGCACTCTTCACAAGTTACTGGTGCATGCATGAATAAGGGATTTCTAAATCGCAAAAGCTTGCATTAATTGAGAGTATTTTTAGTTGTCTTCTACATTTGTATTGTCTTAACTGTAATCCCATGCATACTTGGGAGAAATTCCAATTTAGGTTAATAATACTGTACTTTATTGGAGCTGTTAGAAAATGGAGCAGACAGCCTCTCATTGGCTAATTAGCCAAAAAATTAAACCATCCTGAATATTCAGATTGTAACAACAGGTACTTAGAACTTTTAAGTCCCATAATCTGTAGAAAGTTGCATTCTGTAGTATCTTAATATCTGTAGAAAGCCAGTTTGTATCGTATAATCTGTAGAAAGTTGCATTCTGTAGTAATATCTGTAGAAAGCCAGTTTGTATCATTGGCCCTGGTTACATGAGGGAAATGTTTTCTACTTCTTCCAATACTTTCCATGCCTCAGTTGTATTGAATTATGGTCACATGGTTTATATCCCAGGACGAACACTCCAGTAACTTTTAGCAGTACTGATTTGTTGCCTCTTATTTGAAATGTTATGGCTGGCTACACCATAGTACTGGTTTGTTTTCTTTATATATGTATGTTTGTGTGTGTGTTTAAAAACTAATATTTATCAATACATCGACATATCAGAAACAAGGCTTCCTCTAAGGATTGCATGACATTTATGAGCACGCTTCTCTCTGCCCCCCTCTGGACGGCTTTTCTCCTTCCCTGTGCACCCACAGCTATAGTTTCCAGTTCCTTTCATTCCTGTTGCAACAGAACCCCATGCAGGGTGGGTGGTGGGTGGGGGACTTGCACATGGGGGTGGGGTAGGAATTAGAGGGAACATTGATCAGGGAAGAGAGTTCTGTTTAGGAAAATGTCCCTCCACTGCACTGGCTGCTCCTGCAGAAAGGCATTGCACATAATGGACTTGGGATATCCACGCAGCAGTACTGGTGATCAACCCTCTCCCTGGTGACATTGGGATACCAATGTTTCAATGTATCTTCCCATAGAAATTTTTTTAAAAAAAGTGGCAGTAATGTAATGGCAGAGGCCCCCTGTGACATACTTTAACCAATGTATTGATGTATTGGGCACGAAAAGTTTTTTAAAAATAATGTGTGCACTGCAGTAGTGGCAGCCACCCTCCTGGCGTCGATTCTGAAAAGAAGCAGGGCAGGTCGTGCAGGACAGTAGTGGCAGCCACCCTCCTGGCGTCGAATCTGAAAAGAAGCAGGGCAGGTCGTGCATGCAGGCAATCCCGGTAAGGCATGCAGCGGTACAACAAAAGTACTAAATAACAGAACCCTTCTGGCAATGAGGAAATGTTCCACTGTTATTCCGCAGGCTGGGGAAATGTCTTGATCTTGACGGTGTGTTGTGTGACCAGAAAAACAACAACGAACTAACGGGGGGATAACTCGAGAGCATTCTCCTTGTGTGACCAGGGCCTTAATCTTTTGGTCTGAACTTGTAAGGTTTAACACTAATACTACATTAATGCCATAGTGCCATGCAGGCACTGCAATAACAGAAACTTGGAATGCAACTGCACTTTGTTCTGCTCTGGCGACAAGCTGGTTTGCACCTTTTCCTGGTTGATGATACAGTGTAAGTGCCGACATGAACCAGCCTGTCCCCAGAGCGTTCCCACCCACACCTTTCTAGCTGGAGGGGAAAATTCTTCTGCCAGCTGTTTCTGTTCTACTGGCAGATGGAGGATATAGGAAATGACCCCCCCGGTCAAGCATGTATCTTTGAGATGCCACACACATTGCACACTATTTAACCCCTTTGTCATGCTGACTTGGCATTCTGGGTTTCATGACCTATAGGACAGCCAAGGAAGTGAAAATCATGCCTTTTAAAAAGATGACAGTGAAGTTAGTGTTTCTCCTCCTCCCCCTTGTCTATCCCTGAGTTTTTGTGTTGTTTTTAAAGAAGGTAGGACCATGGACAGAGAATTTAGAATAACATACCTGATTGGAATCCACAAAAAGCCATAATACAAGGTGACATTCTACAAAGCTTTTCACTCCAGCTGCAGAAAGGGAAAGTGAGATGCCAGGAGCAGAACAAGCACATGGAATCCTAGGCTGGAATGAAATGGCCCTGCATTATTGGTTACAGTGGAAGAGCCTTGCGATTTGCTGACCTGTATGACAATTGATATACCACCATGTCCAGCCTTTTACTGAGGTGACCCAGGGATTGGCTGAATGTGGTGGGTTCGCATGGGCACAAATCATTGTGTGATTCCTCTACTAGCTGGTAGCGAGGCAGGTGCTGCAGCCCCCAATTGCTCATGGGCTTGAAGCCTTCGTCTCTAGATCTCTTAAGGGAATCCCCCACTATGAGAATGAGGCAGATATAGCTGTCCTCCTTCCCACTTAAACTGAATCCAGTTTAATGCCAAAAAGGCTCAGCAGAGTTATGACAAAATGGAAATGAGGATTATACAAAACATGTGTGACCACATTATGCAGCACCAAAACCCATCAGCTCATGAAACATAAGGGAGAATGGGCTGGGAAGCTCTAAAGAAGAGTGATTTCGACAGTGATTTTGCCATTCCCAGGTAGACGGGAGAAGAAACGTCTTCAAGGTTTGCTAGGGGAATTCCCATCCATCGCCAAGGCCAGCTGTCTCTTGTTTGGCTGGCTCAAAGGAATGGCACTCCAGGATGGCCACCATGATCACCAAAGCCAGCATGGATAACCAGCTGCACTGCTAGCTGCAGATGGGGTCTGGGTTATGTTTCTGACCCATGCCTCTCCTTTTAAAAAATGACACGTAACATGTACTATGAATTGTAGTCTAATGGCAAATTTTAATTTTGAAAATAATGTAAACTCTGGTCCTGGGTAGTTCTGGGGTGGCTGAGATATGCCTTGGTGGCTGTCTGTGGCCACCCAAGACCATTTGAGTAAGCTTCCTCACAGATACCACTAGCTGTGGAAATTTTTGTTTTGACAAAAATGGCTTTTTCTCCTCTTCCCATCTTCAACAAGTGGTGGTTTATGTTTTAATCACATCAGGAGGAACGACTGCCAGAACCCCTCAAAAGCAAAAATCTAATTTAGAAATGGCAGATGAGGCACTTCAGGGGGTCAACTTGTTTGTTAATTTTAGCTGTTTAAGTCATTTCTCAGCCTGGTGTGGGCCATGGAAGGGCCCAGGAGCAAAACATTGGTCCCATGCTTACCTATATTGGCCATCCCTGTGGTACCCACCTACTGGGAAATAACCCCAGTTGAACAGGTTGGGATTTATCTCTTGAGGAAGCTTGTATCAAACTGTGCTGTTAGTTTCTCAGAGCTCCTGATTAGTGAAATCATGTAGTAGGGAACTGTATGACTAGCTATTTTTAATACATACACACATACTGAATTAGTGAGGAGGGAAGAATGACAAGAGAACTGAACCAGAGAACATATGTACATGTTGTGACCACAGCATCTGTTGTGGATTAACCTAAACGAACTTGGTAGGGTACCAAGAGTGTATGACAAATAAAGGAAAATAGCTGGCAGTCATTGATCAGTACAAGAAGACAAAACAGACCGAGACCAGCGTACTATTCAATTCTTCTGCGTCTGTATTTACTTGTGTGTATAGTTGTCTTTTTCACACTGCTTATGCAAATGAGAATCAGCCAATCTCTTCTGCAAGTAGAAAGCCCCACTATGTTGAACAGGGAAGCCTCATATTTACAGGGCTGCAAGCCAGAGCTCAGAAGGAAATGTGGAAGGCTTCAGCTGTGGAGCTGTTGCCTGCCATGTTTGCCAACAGCATTCTTGCCATACCCTGAAAATGTCCAACGGTAATGCTTGGTGAACTAAAATGAAGGAGCCTTCTTCAGGGGTTGCAAAATAAAATGGACAATACGTGAAACCAAGCACGTCAAAAGTAATAAAAAGGAAACATTATGAATTAAATACAAATGGCTCAAAGTAGATCTTGGACCTAAATGCCTTAGGATTCCCTAATTGCCTTGATTAGGGAGGTTGATTTAATCAAACAGTGTGTCCTATAACAGTCAGCCAGATGCAGTGGGAAAGCTGGGTGAGGGACAGAAAGGCAGCAATCATCCCACTGTGCTTTTCAGCAAACACCCACATTTCAAAGTGATAATGCCTTATAAGCATTTTGTCTATTGGGATTATTAATAGCTCTTGATAGACCTCACATCTGTGAAATACAGTGGTACCTCACTTAGCGATGTTAATCCGTGCAGAAAAAATCGCTGCTAAGCGATAACATCGCTAAGTGAAAATAAAAAGCCCATAGAAACGCATTAAAACGCGATTAATGCATTCCTGTGGGCTAAAAACTCGCCTTTAAGCGAAGATCCTCCATAGCGCCGCCATTTTCGGTGCCTCTAAAGCGAGGTATCCGTGCCTGAAAACAGCGTGCGGCCATTTTGTTTACCTGGTGGCCATTTTGAAACCGCCGATCAGCTGGCAGAAAATGGGGGCTTTGTGATGGTCACTTCCCTGCGATCATTACAAAGCAAATTCCCCCCATAGGGACCATCGCAAAGCGATCGCTTTTGCAATGGCAAAAAGTCCATTGCAAAGCAATTTCGTCGCTATATGTAGCGATCGCTATGCGAGGCACCACTGTACTCTAATCACTCCTGAAGGGTCCATTTCACTCCTTTCT